CATTCCATAAAGTGCAGCAGTGATTAAATGCAAAAAGTGTGGGAGAAAAAAAAAAAACATGGTACAAAAAACACATTGATATGGCAGTTCAGAGCATTAATATATATGGTGCAAGTATGCAGTATGTTTGGTTTGATGTTATCAGTGTGATAGTCTAATAGCAGAGCGAGTCTTTGACATGATTTAGACTTTTTACAACAGTTCAGCAGTCTGATGGCAGTGGGGAAGAAACTGTTGCAGAACCTTCTGGATCTACACTACCGCTCAAAAGTTTGGGGTCACCCAAACAATTTAGTGTTTTCCTAAAAGGTCACACTTATTCACCACCATACATTGTGAAATTAATAGAAAATAGAGTCAAGACATTGACAAGGTTTGAAATAATGATTTGTAGTTGAAATAAGATTTTTTTTTTTTTTTTTACATCAAACTTTGCTTTCGTCAAAGAATCCTCCATTTGCAGCAACGACAGCATTGCAGACCTTTGGCATTCTAGCTGTTAATTTGGTGAGGTAATCTGGAGAAATTGCACCACACGCTTCCAAAAGCAGCTCCCACAAGTTGGATTGGTTGGTAATCTTTTTCTTTTCTTGGCCAGTCTCAGATGTGGCTTTTTCTTTGCCACTCTTCCCTGAAACCCAGAATCCCGCAGCCGCCTCTTCACTGTAGATGTTGACACTGGTGTTTTGCGGCTACTATTTAATGAAGATGCCAGTTTGGGACCTGTGAAGTGTCTGTTTCTCAAACTAGAGACTCTAATGTACTTATCTTCTTGCTCAGTTGTGCAACGCGGCCTCCCACTTCTTTTTCTACTCTGGTTAGAGCCTGTTTTTGCTCTCCTCTGAAGGGAGTAGTACACACCGTTGTAGGAAATCTTCAATTTCTTAGCAATTTCTAGCATGGAATAGCCTTCATTTCAAAGAACAAGAATATACTGTCGAGTTTCAGATGAAAGTTCTCTTTTTCTGGCCATTTTGATCGTTTAATTGACCCCAGAAATGTGATGCTCCAGAAACTCAATCTGCTTAAAGGAAGGTCAGTTTTGTAGCTTCTGTAACGAGCTAAACTGTTTCCAGATGTGTGAAAATGATTGCACAAGGGTTTTCTAATCATCAATTAGCCTTCTGAGCCAATGAGCAAACACATTGTACCATTAGAACACTGGAGTGATAGTTGCTGGAAATGGGCCTCTATGTAGATATTGCACCAAAAATCAGACATTTGCAGCTAGAATAGTCATTTACCGCATTAGCAATGTATAGAGTGTATTTCTTTAAAGTTAAGACTAGTTTAAAGTTATCTTCATTCAAAAGTACAGTGCTTTTCCTTCAAAAATAAGGACATTTCAATGTGACCCCAATTTTTGAACGGTAGTGTACACTCAATGTGTATTGAAGCCCAGCTGTTCCAGTTTAGCTATGAGATGCTGTGAGAAGATGATGTTGAAAGCTGAGCTGAAGTCCAGGCACAGCATCCGCATGTATCCGCAGTCTAAGCCTATAGCAGCATAACTATAGAGATAGCGCTGGATAACCTGAGCCACTCTAACTATAAGCTTTATCAAAAAGGAAAGTTCAAGCTTTAATATTTATTCAAAATCAGTAAGATGATTTCCATTTTTTAAATAATGTTTTATTTATTATTACTGATGTAAATTTCAATTTATTTTACTAGAAGTTGATTTTTTTATGTCTTTAATAGAAGGGTATGTAAACCTTTAAGTGCAACTGTATAAATATAAGTTTAAATGCTAAAAAGCAGAGTTAACTTGAACACCTACTGTCTTTTCCAATATATAGACCTATTTCTTCAAGGTGAATAAAAAAAAGGGCCTCTGGGTATTTTAGAAACTTTGTGGCTTGGTGCTTATGGGGTAAACATAGATGTTCCAAAACAATGAGGAATGCTGGCCAGCTCAGAGGCAAGAGACGTAATAACTGTCATTCTCTGTCTGAGGGGATGATTCTTCTATTTAATGAAGACCTTCAGAGAAGACCAGCAGACACCAGGCTTGATTGAGGAATGTTCTGAAAGCTCCTTGCAATTACATTTATACCCCTAAAACTTTCAAACATTTTATCCCACTGCAAGCACAAACTTTAATGCCTTTCACTGGGACGAAGTGTGTGGTTGTCAGAGAAATCCTGAGCTGCGACCATATATGGTGCAACTCTGTAGGGATTGTAAATATGGAAGTTGGGCCCACTCTTTGCTGTAGAAAAAAGATACAGATTTTAAATATAACAAACATTTTGATGATACAATTTTAGAGCCTTTACAGTTTGGGAATGCTTTTCTTTGACAGAGACAGCGGGGCTACTCAGAGTTTATGGAAGGACAAATACAGAGGGATCTAAAAGAAGAGATGTACCAAATAACTAAAATTAAATTGAATTTAAAGAAAAGAAAGAAAGATAACCTGCATGCATCCATCTTCCGTCACACTTATCCCTGCTGGGGTCAAAAGTCTATCACAGGGCAACAAAGAGACAAACAGGACAAACAGCCATTCACACTCACACCTAAGGAGAATTTAGAGAAGCTATTTAACCTAACAATCATGTTTTTGGACTTCAGGAGGAAACCAGAATACCAAGAGAGAACCCACACATGCACAGGGAGAATATGCAAACTCCAGCGCAGAAATACCCTGGACCAGGAATTGAACCAGGAATCTCCTTGCTGCAAGGCAGCAGTGCTACCCACTGTTTCACTGTGCAGCCATGTAAACATTTGAACATTTCTCATCAGAGAATTGTTCAAATGTTTATATCCTAACGCAGTAGTTTAGTACTTGCCACAGTGAATCTGCAGGTTTAATTGCAGCATTTCTTCCTAACTCTGTTGACACCCTCGATGAACTAATAAATATGGTTGTTGCATAATCCAATTCCGATCAACTGTAGATGCTGAACGTTAAAAAATCTCTTCAATGCATGCTATGTCATACGCTGAGCAGCTTACAGCTATAATTATCATCTCTTCAACAAATATTTGTTCCTCTGACGAATTCAGGTGGGAAACATGCACGAACTAGCATTGCTGCCCCCCTGAACCACATTCTTAGAGCGATAACGACCCCAGGCATTTCACACTTCATACATTTTTTATCTCTTAACTTCCTCCACTGCTGTCACAAAAGAGTAGATGATTATTAAAAATGGATTTCTATGGGTATCTACTCTAAAGCTGTCTCCCATCTGAATGTAAACTGTGAAAAGAAATGTGTTAAACTCAGATTAACTCTGAAGCCAATCGCTGTTTTATCAGGTAACAGAGATCAAGTAAAAAGTCTACTGCCCCTGATGTTTTCCCAGAGCCCCACGTTAAAAGTAATCAGAAATATTTCTGCTATTTTTGCTCTTAAAATCTAAACGTATTACTTAACATAACTTGTCTACCGGTGCTACAAGACAAAGAATCTCTGTCTTTGCTGATTACATCATTTTGAGAATGCAAAACAGAGAGAGGTCTTGCCGTCGTATTTATGCAAACCTTCAGTAGTTAGTCAATAGGATAAAGATTTAGAAGCTTTCCTAACAGCTTCTCCCTTCCTGAATAAATATATTGTTAATTTTGTGTCCAATCTTACTAGAAACAATTTTTTTACTAATGGAGTGCTTAAAAAAACATTACATGAAAACATTTCACATATGCTTATTTTATTAGGAATATTTTCTTTTTAATCACCCATGCATGGCTGAAACTGTGTATCTTTCTTTTATAAATAGCAAAGGTGCAAGACATGTTATCTTACAGATTTATAATTATTTACAGATGCCTTTAAACCCTTGATCACAACTCTTAAAGTCTAGCTTACTACTTAGCTGGAGCTTAGTGAAGTTCTTAACACTGCTGGCATTAAAAGAATCCCTAACAGATTTTTCCTGGTGTTTACATGTTATCTCTGTGCGTTTATATGCATGCTGTTTCTATCTGGGTATGCATCCTGTCACGGTCCACAACACAAAAGTTAGATCAACTCCACTCTAAACTGTCCTCAGGTATAATAGGGGATTGTTCCTTTTCGATCGTGTATAAATAAGCAGTTATATACAGTGGATTTATTTAAAAGACTGAAACATCATTCTAGAAAATCTTAACCTAAAATAAAGTTTCCATGAAGTAATTCCAGCTTGGCTATGTAGTCATCTATGGCAGTGTTTTTCAACCCTGGTCCTCAAGGCACCCTGCCCTGCATGTTTTAGATGTTTCCCAGCTTTCACACACCTGTTATCAATTGATAGCAGATTATCAGGCTTTGCTGAACTGCAATCATCTGAATCAGGTTTGCTGAACCTCAGAAACATCCAAAACATGCAGAGCAGGGTGCCTTGAGGACCAGGATTGAAAAACACTGGTCTATGGCCTGCACATCATCCCTATAGACCAAGGGTGCTCAAGTCCAGTCCTCAAGAGCTACTATCCTGCAACTTTTTGATGCAACCATTTTTAACACACCTGAATCAGATGAGTGGCTGGTTACCGTGCCTCTGCTGAGCTACATGAGGGGATTGAGCCTTTTGATTCAGGTGTGTTAGAGAAGAGATGCATCTGGACTTGAACACCCCTGCTATAGACAAAACATAGTGTTAGCAGGATCATGCTGTGGGGATGTTTTTTCAGCTTGATCATGGTTTTGTGGAAGCTAGAAACAGCTGTCCAGTTGCTGAAAGATGTGCATTACTTTTTGCTCTTGTTTTTGTCTATGCATTCGTCCCCTCAGGGTGCAACTGTGGTTGTATAAACCATAGGTTCCCTGGAGCTCCTTTCTTCTTGGGTTACTACCAACTCAAAAGTGGGAGACTGAGAGGTAGGTAGCTCACCAAAAGGGAAAAGAGGATTGAAATTTTTTTTTTAACACTTTCTCATAATATTGTTGAGACTTTGAGGTCCAATGCGTATTTTACGCTCACTTTAAAGCGCAACATTGAGGCGTTTCCGTGTTCTGAGCTTTTTTTCCTCTTACTGAAAAGCTACATTTGAGACTTTTTGGGTGGAGCTTAGTAGGGGGAGAGGGAAGAAGTGTAAAGGGAGTGAGAAAAGAGGGAGAAGTGTGCGCTAAGAATTAGAGACAGGGTGGGGACACACTTTTTTACACATTCCCAAGCAGCGGCTGCGCCGAGACTTTAAGCGCTTCCAGGTAAATTTATTCCATTTATTCAAAGTCCCGAATCTGTGACACTAAGTTATCATTTTCTTTTTTATCTTTAAAAACAGGGCTGACTTTTGATGAGCGAGTTGCAATAAAATACTTAAGGGGATCGTTGAAAAAAAGCGCGCAACAAATGCGTCAAAGAGGAGCAGCGGCCGCGCTTTTTACGCAGTTCTTGTTACTTTTGCGCAAGTTTTAGTTGAAGGTTTACATGTTGCTGGATTCTCGCGCTCTTTTTAAAGTTGTTGGCTGCTGGGCCTGTGTGTGTGTGTGTGTGTGTGTGTGGGTAGGGGTGTGTTGGTGTGTAATTGAGTGGGTCCTGTTTGGGAATGCCCAAACACGTCCAAACAAACGCGCTTTTCTCAGCGGAAAGCACTGAAAAAACTCTACATAATAAGCGGAGATCTTTGGTTTTCATTAGGAGATCATTAGACCAGAGTTGGGTTTGGAGAAAAATAAATAAAGAGCTGTAAAGAGAGGCGCTTTGGTGCGACGTGTCTGACTCCAGATGTTTTTGAAAAATCCCCCCTGACTCGCAGGGCGTGCTGAGACTCGCATGTAACGGATCCCTTCCCCTCTGTTTTGTCAGTGTTTAATGGTTTTATTGGAACTCGTGCTGTGTCTTAATTGATGCGTCCCATAAAGCTCATGTGATTGGAAGATAAGCAAAGATCTGCGTCTTTTCACATTCCTCTAATTTTTCAGTTTTCACAGGGTCACAATGTTGGTGCTGGTAGGGATCGTCGGTTTGCACATAACCACCATCATCCTGCTCCTGGTGGCCACTATTGATAACGTGAGTGTTTTTTTTGTTTTGTTTTTTTTCTTCTTTTATCACTTTAAAGATGCTCTCCAGAGATTACATTTTTTTTCTGCTAATCAATCCAAACGTGATGCAAACTAAGCTGGGTCATCTATAGATGCTCTCTGTTGAAGTTTGAAAAAAAAAAAAGAAAAAAAAGGCCCAAATTTTGCTTTAATTGAGTTGATGGAATCACAAGAGACACAAGAACCAGACTGATGGCTCTCAGTATCATCCATACTCCCAATTCTTTAACTTTATGTCCTTTTTTCCCTTTTTTTTAACCCATTATTTAATTTTAGCAATAGTGAATAAAGAAAATAACCCTGTAGAAGCTATTTCTCCATTTTCAGTTAAATCTTAGAAATTAGATGATTTAGTTTGATTTGTTATTTAGAATAAGATTTGTTTAGTTAATTTGCTAATTAATTTTAGCTTGGGATGTGGGTGTTTCACAGTATAAATAGGTAGGTCTTAGGTAGCTCATTATGCACGTGGGTAGTCATAAGTTTTTTTTTTTTACCAGTTGTCAGTATTCAGTCAGTCAATCAAAGAACAGGTGCAGGAATCAGAGTGAGAGCAATAGGAGAATCCTGTGAAGCCTGTAACGTCTGAACGCAGAATAAATCAAGCAAAGAACTGGATTTTGACCCTTTTTAATCTTTTTAGACTGTGTTAGCCAGAATCCACGGTGCATCAGGTGGCTATTAGAGTTAAAATCAACTTTTGCTTTGATCACTTTTTAAGTTTTGTTGAATTTTGAATTTTAGTTTTGTACAAATAGTCACTACAAACCCTTTTGGAGTTGAAGATTGAAAACATATGGTCTGAATCTTGAGTCTTAAGAAACAATCTTTATGTCACGGAGGGCTGTAACTAATGTTCATTTTGCTAATTGATTAATCTGTCAATTGTATTTTTGTGAATTTCTTACACAATTTCAACCAATTGAATCTAAAATGGATAAAGCTTATTGATTGAAACTTTTTTCTTTATCTTAAATGTAAAATGTTTATATAATTTTTTAAAACAATTTTGATATAATTACTGCTCTATATTGGTTGCTCATGTTATAGAGTCTCTATACTCTGGTTAATGATTAGTAGATTACTAAGTTAGTAATAATGCATTAGCTAGCTTAATCTGATGCATCTGATGCTCAGTGTCGTGGTTTGATGTGTTCCAAATTTATTTAATTGTGTGGTCAATACTATCAGGCAGCTAGCAGGAACAGGTTGACCATAAATGGCTCCCAGTCCACTGATGTCCCTGGTTGATAAATCAAGAGCACAAACATGCAAACTCCAGAGAAAGAGCCAGGAATTGAACCTACGACCGGCTTGCTGCAAGGCAGCAGAGCTACAAACTGCACCACCATAGAGCAAATAACTTACTGTAAATCTTTACATACTGATTAGACTTAACAACAAAGGTTTTAATCCGTCCAAATAGTAAAAAAATATATATTTTGTGTTTTAAAGTAGAGTTTTTATTTAACTTATTTTTCCCTGAAAATAAATAAAAATTTATAAATGTAATTGACAACACATCAGGGTATATTAATTCTCTGAATAATTTAAGCCAACTCAATATTGTTTGTTTCAGGATAAAGGAAATGTTCGAAAATAAGTACAAATACTTAAAGATCTAAAGGTACTTGTAGATTAAGTTAAAACAAATACATACAATTGTTCAAATGTGGATCCCGGCCTAAGAACAATAGAAGCTGTATTCCTCAAATACAACAGTGCAGTTCTATAAGTGGAATAGATAGCATGTATATGTTGATTTTTTTTTGTGTGTGTGTGATTTGAGAATTGATTTGAGACAGAGCAAATGACCTGTGAACATTGCTGTCATGTGCCTAAATCTCCGTCTTTAAGTTTAATTTTATTACTAGTGACAGTTTCATATGAACGTTGAAGATAGTCATAAAAATGTTCAAATTAAACCCATAATTCAAGTTTAATTGTGCATTGATTTCCTCAAGACTTCTTCCATAATACATTTGCATTGATTTGGGATCTGATCCTTGTGGACCAGTTGACTTTTATTAATTATGTCGTGATGAAACCAACCAAGAACAACCTGCTGCTTGTTATGATGCATAGAGAGAACGACTTAAGCTGTAGCAGTCGACTCCATTCTGAAAACATAAACAAAATAAAACCTGTATGATTACCCTGAGAGTAAAGCACTGCAAGCTGATCAGCTGACATTAGCAAATATTTTCATCAACTTTTTAAAATAATATTTGTTTAGATTAGATATTCCACTTCTTGTATCAGTCTAAATATATCAGATACTGGTTAGGATTCGTATCCTTGTATTTGGCTTTTAACAGTTTGCTCCATGTGGTTTCCATCCTTAGTTTGCTAGCTGCGATAATCCAATTATACAAGTTTTTAGTTGTGGATTGTTAATGTTATGGTCTTAAAACAGCTTCTGTTCTTACTTCAAAATAAGAGTCTTCAAATTAGGTAAGGTCTCATATTAACAGATAGCATTTAAGGTTATAGACTCTAAAAAGAATTGACCTTTTGCTTTAATATAAGGAAACTGTATACCACTAGGCAAGGTAAGTTTCTTTGTATAGCACAGTTCACTACAATGACATTTCAAAGTGCTTTACATGAATTAAACAAAAGAAGAAGTAAATAAAACAGATCACATCCTTAAAGTAACGATACCTCAGTTAACAGTTTAACTTCAATAGTCNATTATACAAGTTTTTAGTTGTGGATTGTTAATGTTATGGTCTTAAAACAGCTTCTGTTCTTACTTCAAAATAAGAGTCTTCAAATTAGGTAAGGTCTCATATTAACAGATAGCATTTAAGGTTATAGACTCTAAAAAGAATTGACCTTTTGCTTTAATATAAGGAAACTGTATACCACTAGGCAAGGTAAGTTTCTTTGTATAGCACAGTTCACTACAATGACATTTCAAAGTGCTTTACATGAATTAAACAAAAGAAGAAGTAAATAAAACAGATCACATCCTTAAAGTAACGATACCTCAGTTAACAGTTTAACTTCAATAGTCAAAGGTAGTTCTGAACAAATGGGTTTTTAACTTTGACTTTAACGGGTCATAGAATGATTATAAAGGGCTACTGGTTCTCAGGGGGGGATTTACCATTAGGCAATACTAGACAGTTGCTTAGGGCCCCAAGTTCCTAGGGGGCCCCATAAAACTCTGTTTCCATGTATGGTTAATACAACTATTCCTTATTTGTGTGCATTTATTATGTTTTTGATAAAAATCCTTTGGCTAAAATGCCATTAGAACGCTTATAATATTAAGTGTGCTTGGAAAAAATCTTTTTGATTTTTTCCTTTTAAGACAGCATGAAAAGTCAGCTGAGTACAAAACATAGAGAGGAACACAACAAGAAAAGGGACAAGAAGAGAGGGACAAAACCTAGAATGAACAATGGATGTCTATTCTAATAAAATTTCTCTATCTGTAGAATGGGTCTGTTTTATGTGTTGTCTTCTCAATTCAGAGGGCCCCCTGCCTGTCTTTGCCTAGGGTCCCACATTTCCTAAATCCGCTCCTGCTGGTTCTTAAGGTCTCTAAATAGGGTGTTTAATTGGTTGGGTTGAAAATTACATATTTGCTGTCCTATGAGCCCAAAAGCAAGCCTGGTTAAAGGCCCTAGAATGTAACTACAGGTTTCTTCTTTTTATGGTGTGTTCATGAATATTTAGATGAGCTGTGCGCTGATTGGTTGGTTTACAACGAACACAGTTGATGAGCAAAGATGCATCATAGCAACAAGCACTCACTCACTGAAACAGCAAATTGTTAATATGGTACCGTTACCAGACATCCTCTTTTTCCCGGACATGTCCTACTTTTCATACATAAAAAAATGTCCGGGGGCGAATTTCAAAATCATCCGGGATTTTGGTCGACTACGGTGCAACAGAACCGAGCCGTGAGCTCTGGGGCTGGTCTGGAAACACGGGCGGACAAATTATGTTTTTATTAAGAAGGAGAAAATGATGGTAAATGGAAAGCTGTTTGTTGTCTGCATAGTTATAGTAACTGATCTTGTTAATCTGAGCTAAAGGAGCAAGCAGATAACAAACAGGAGGGGCCCAAGAATGGAGCCTAGGAACCTGAGGAACTTATGTCTGCTTAGATTTTTTAGAGGAACAAGAATGTTTTTTGGCAAATTTCCCTTATATCCAAGCAGTGTTTTAAGTATGGCTCTAATGTTTTGGATTGGCATTAAACATCTACTTATGAACATCTACTTTATAGGCGACATTTGATTTAAAAACGTGTTAGAAAAAAAAAAAAATGGGTTAATTGAAACAAACTGATTATTCACCTTCTAACCACATGCCATCGTGGAATATGATTGTGAAGAAAACATTTTTTCAACTAAGTAAAGCTCTAAAAACACAGCAGAACAACTAGAACTGTTGCATGTTGTTTTGTCTGCGGTTAACTATGTCTAAATGCAATCGGGTTTCACAGAAAAGTCTGTTTAATTGCTTTAAGTTACATCTGTGGTCAGAATTTTTGAGAGTTCAGAACAGTTTTATATGAGACTACCTTTCCCTCTCCTCAGCCAGCCATGTGCAGAAAGCAGAAGTTAATAGTCAAAATATGTTTTCACCACCCACTGTGTTGCAGATTTTCAAACCTCCACGTACATAAAAACTGGTTTGGCAGCGCTTACAGAATAACAATAAAAAAACAGCTTTGTAAGAGAACGGTGAATTGGTCTGCCCACATCTATGCAAGCACACATCAGAGGGGGAAAAAAAAACTGGAAGCAATAACCTTTGCTGGCTAAAAAAAAAAAACTCAACAACATTTGCTGTGCAATCGTTCTCTTGCATGTTCTGACATATATTCATATTTTCAGGGCTGGTGGATCAACCAAACTGAATACATGGACCTGTGGGGGAAGTGGAGCTTAGTAAACTCAGACTGGCGTTACAGTGAGCTAAAGGATTACACAGATCAAGAATCAGGTTTGAATGCAACTAACATTTAATTTCAGCTGTGTTCATGACAAAAAGGTTACATCTATGTTTTTTTTTTTTACCTCTGTCTCACTGCAGATTTCCTCCAGGTAGTTGAGGCCACCTCGGTTCTGGCGTGTGTTTTCACCATCTTAGCCCTGATTGTGTTTGTGGCCCAGCTGTTTACCCTGCCCAAAGGCCACAGGTTCATCTTCACCGGCATCTTACAGCTAATTGCCTGTAAGTAACCTAGAGTCACCGCTATGAGGGACGCTGATTCATGTTTCTCTTTTGCATCGCTGTTAGCTTTAGTTTTATTTTTAAATGGATGCCGCGTGCTTGGCTGACCGAGGTCAGTAGTGCAATTAAACCTTGGTACCACGCAGACTGGACACTATTTTAAAAGAATTATAAGCAGAAATAAATATGTTGCTATTTTTTCACTTTATTCATAACCCCCAAGGAAACAATTGCAATGTTTATGAGATCAGGCTCTAAAGGTCATAGAAAAAATTGTGATGCTTTAGCTTTTATGCAGACAAAAGGATAAATAAGACGCTAATCCTTAGCTGTTCATGACACTAAGCTGAAATCCATTTGGTCTTCATAGTTTTTATTTATAAATGACAAAGTGCTCATATAAACTCCACTCTCAGTGGTTTTTCATCTAACTTTCAGCCCATACTCTGTCTGCAGCTACAGTTCTGGTTCTATCCTCAACGACCCCCTCCCATTCAATCATCAGCATTCCCTGGCTGCTTCCAGTTAACACTCTGCTGTTAATGTGCTAAAAACAGCATGTGCTTGGCTGTTTTCAATGTAAATACCACTGCCTTTACTTGATCAGTTCGACACAAACATTGACTCGTGCCATTTGGTTTGGCTTAAGCATGCAGTTTGGTGTAAATGTGGTTCAGCTTTTACAGATGTGGGATTTTATGCTACAGAGCAACACATAGAGGTAGTTAATGGAAAATGTTTCATTTTATTTTACAAATTAAATCCCATAGCTTAATGTGCATTTTTTATTTGTCTCCCTTCAAGCCAATATCATTAAATGCAATAGCAATTAGTAAAGATAATAAATTGTTTTAAAAACTTGGGTAATTAGTTGACAGACCTCCACTGCATGTGATTTCATTTCTATTTTTTAGCAATCCTTTCAAAAAGACAAAGACACTTAGCAGATAAAAGGGTGAAAAGTGTTTGAAGAGCTTTTCTTTAGCAGAGATAAATGGTTTTAGAAGATGAAAGGGGCTGAATGCCAGAAAAGATATTCACAGATTTTCTCCATCTAAACCAGCTGAGCTGCTTGAATAGTTTAGGGGCGTTGGCGCTTTGCTGGAAGGGTGGGGTTTGCTCCGTTTCCATAAAGGTCTTCTTAATTCTGGATGAGTTGTGGCAAAGTGGTTAGAGACAAGGTGTTCCGGTCCTGGAAAGGCCTCAGGATTCCTTGTTTGAACTCAGACTGATGCTCAAAGAAAGGATAAAATTTCAGGTCTCTAGATATGCAAAACTGGTGGGGTCTTGTAGTTGTAATTAAAGTAAAAGGTGATTCAGCAGGATTAATTCAAGGGAAATAAAAGTGCAAAATTTTAAGTTGGAAATAGTTTTCCTTATGTTTAACAAATTTGTACTAACTGGTGTTGATCTTCAACATCAGAAGAATCCTGACAAAAACATCAAAGTTTGTGCCCAGGAAGTGACAAAAAGTGTGAAGTATTTTAGCCTGGCCCACTCTAACATCCTCATTTTAACAGTCTGCTCTCATTTTGTTTGTTCTTACTATAAATCAGAGAAAGCATCTATCTGGGAACAATAACTGTGCTGGATTATTTTCCAGGAGTTTTATCATCCTTTCCATTGTTTCAGCTGTCAGCGCCTTTGGCTGGGCCATGTGTCCTGTACATCTGCCAGCTCTGCAAACACCACATATTATCTGTATGCACAAATTCCCTGTAGATGCAGCTCGTCTCTCAATCCTTTTTAATATCTTTAGAGACAATATTGTCTGACGCACTTAGGTATCAGATAATGGTCAGGGTGCGAAAGAAGAAACAAAGAGGAGAAACAAGCTCAGGAAACAGCCAAAGACACGTCTTTAGATCCGGAGGGAGATGCAGAAGGGTGGGGCAGTTTAAGACTCACGTTTCCGTGACATTAAAGAATTTTAACAGGTTCTAATGAAAATATATCTTCAATGTAAACTGTTTTGTGGAGGAAAATGAGAGCGACAACATTCGGTGCTACGACCGTGTTCACATTCCAGATGTTAGAGCAGGATAATGTACAAAACCAAACAATACAGAGGAAATGGTCACTTTATCACGGAGTGTGATCAAAAGACAAATTGTGATTTAACATGTCCCTTTTCTTTTTCCATGTTTAGCTCCAAAACAAAGACTAAGTAGAGGAGTAGCTAACAAACTGCTGCCAGTGAGCTGAAAAAGCCTGGAACGTCTCAGTGTTCAAGGCTCCAAAGCTTTGTCTGTCTATCACGACTACAGACTATTGTCATATTCTCAACCAAATGTTCACGTCAGAAACTCCTGATCAGAATAAAAAGATTTAACTCTTAACACGTAAAAATGGTTGTATTTGGTGGGGAAAGACAAAGATTATTTGGGGTGTTTAGGTTGCAGTTTTTACCTCTATGGCATCGTGTTGTGCCCCTACTGATTGTTGAAGACAATATTGTTTGGCTAATCAGCAGGTAAAATCAGATAAAAACATTAAGGGCTGCAGATCTGCACAATTCCTTCTATATTCTCTCAATTTTTAGTTCTGGACTTTTTGCTGATTATAACAGAGTGGACTTAGATGCATAATATCCCCGAAGGTCTATGAATTTGCAAAAGAATGAAGTTCAAGGTCCCGAATAGTCTGTGAAAAATGCTATTAAAGGACACTCATCCTCAAATTGCTTAATTATTTTGGATTATTTTGGTGTGCTATGCATAGCTATCTTGTGTGTTACAGCACACGCATCATTGTGTACAACCTATCGCAGGCGAATTTCGTGTCCGGTTGAAGCAGGTTCAGTCAATGCCATGCAAAGAAGGTGGAAATTTTAGGATGCAAGGCTTGCATAAAAAAAATAAAAGATGTGCGGTTATCAAAGGACCAAATATGCAGGGTTTCTTACAGTGGCTAGAGCTTTATTGAGTTACATTTTTGGGGTGTGGACTACAATGCAGATGTCAGTAACAGCACATTTATAAACTGGTTGCAGGTAATTTCACCAGATTTCTCTAAATAATAATAACATTTATCAAATAAGACTCTTTAGGTTATTAATGCTTTAATTTTATCACAATCAGTTTCACTTTTACAACCTCACATAAGCAGGGAAACACTAGGAGATTGCTAATGGGTTTAAATAACCATCATCTTATGCAATTAGGACATGTAGGCTAGATAGATTCAGTTTCTTGTTGAATGTGTATTTATTCACCACTAACTAACCCCTGGGAGGATTTTAAAATTATGCAAGACTTTGAGAAAAAATGCCACAGAGTTTCAACAAAGTCTCTTCTCGCTGTAACTACGTTAGGGAAGCGGCGGCCTAAGTTAGTAGAGGTGTGGAAAAAAATAGTTTATGCAATATATCATGATTTTTGGCTGTCTTATATACTTTTAATTTTGATAGCAGGAAAAATATCAACATATATGGTGATATTATATTATTGTGACCCAAGTATCGTGACACATATGGTATCCCAACACTAATGCCAATACTCACCCCTTGTGGTTAGGGTATAGTGCTTGGAATCCTCTGGTTCTGAGTTTATTGAAATGTAGGCTGTACGCTCAGTCTATTTATCTAATAAGATTAGATAAAGCAGTAAAAAGTATTTCTAATACAAATATCACAGTAAAGCCTGCAGGATTCTGTTGAAAACTACTGACTTCACAGCTTTTATTGAAACGGTTACTGAGACACCTTACAGAAGGTGGAGCAGCATAAGGTTATTGTTAAAGCTAGCTGTTCAGAGTTACCATGGTAACTGAAAGTTGGGTGAAAGGGAAAATTATGGAGGCACAAGCTAAGACATTAACAGAGATAACTGCAGGTTTGAAAGGATTGGAAGATAGTCCACATAAGTCCATCTTAAGAGTTTTGGGGCAAAAAAAGAAAGAAAAGAGGCGGAGCTCCTACAGCTGATGCACACAGACATTTTCAGAGAACTCTTTCCTTCTGAATTGGTAAACCTGCTTTCAGACCAAGTACTGGGGTCATTTACTCTACAGTACGCAGTTCTGCAAAAACGTTTAAAATGAAGATATAAATGATTCAAACACTCTGCGTTTAATATAGCTATATAACATTAAGGTGTTTTTAATTAGAACGTATTTGATGTTGCTGCTTTTAACTTTCGTGTCTGTTAAAAAGTTCTCATGTTCTCTTCTAAAGTCTCATATCTTCATCCTTCCCTGCTTTTCTCCTGCAGGCCTGTGTATAATGACAGCCGCCTCCGTTTACACAGCGCAGCTTCACACCACCGACACACAGGGAGGGTACGGCCACTGCTACGTCCTGGCGTGGATCTCCTTCGTCTTCACCCTCATTCTCACCATCACCTTCGTCGTCCTGCGGAAGAGGACCGAGTGAAGGAGCGGGTGAAGGAGCGATGAGGAGGAGGGTGGGGTCCATGTTCCTCTGCTGCCAGGCTGAGGAGTCCTGTTAATCGTTTTAAATCCTGTCAGCTTGATCCGCAGTAGGGAAAGTGTTAATGCTAACGAGCCAATTGTTTTGTTTGGATTTGAACAAATTAGAGTCGGGGGGGTGGGACTGAATGGGAATGAGGAGAGCTTCCATCTGTGTAACCAAACCAATTAGTTATTTATCTCTAGGCTGTAGCAACCTGTAGGTTTAAAAAGTGAGTCCAGACATTATCCGTATTTAAAGGAATAGTTTGTGTGAAATGTTTTTGGGTAGATTTCCACCAGGCTCAGTCGCTGTTTGGCTCATTTTACTTGATAGAGGGTTAAAGAATTAAAAAAAGGAATTGGTAGAGTTCCAGTCAGGAATTAACATATTCTCCTATTAGGCATAAATTTGAGTGTGAATTGTTTTTTTGAGAATGCTTTTAAAGAATAATAACTGAGACAACTTAGAATCTATCCTTAATCTTCTTTGATCCAGTTTATGCTGGCAGCCTAAAATGTCGAAGAGAAAACACACTTGTTGAAGCCTTAGCATAACTCAGGCTAAATATTCAACCCGTTTCTCAGAAGTGAATAGAGCTCAGTTAAAGCCAACAGGTCTGTGATCCCAGTAAGTCAGCCTGCTTGGGACACATAACTATCCAGATATCAACCATGCAGTCGTTGACTTAAGATGAGGTTGAAGTGGATGTACGTTATTACATCAACTTTGTGCGACCTGTTAACAGTAGTGCTACCAACAGCAACCCCGCAGCATAATGCTGCCCCCACCTTGCTTTACAGTCTGTACAGCACTAAATCCTTGTCCTCTCTGGTCCTATAACCTGTCTCTAGAGTACATCTTTTAATCTGTCTCTTTTTTTTCTGAGCACCCACTCAGCCCCTTAACCCAGGTTTTCTAGTCTACACTAGCTTGAGTTTTGGTGTTTTCTGGGTTCTTCCTGAACCCGTACATTTGATGGCAGATACTGGGACTCTAACACACTCCAGCAGGTGAGCAAGATATGTGGTCTATGCTTGGAAATCAAGCAGCTGAAGATAATTCCGTTGATTCAAACAACCATTGTACCAAAAACCTCCTAAAAGGAGTTTATCCCTATAATTGCAGTATTTTTTATTTTTTTTTTTACCCTGTTTAGATCAGAGAAACTAAAAATAACACTGCTTAAGTCATACAATGATTTATTCCACCCTGAAAAACAGACGCTCAATGCATTATAAAAGCCCCAAATCAGTATGAAAGGCACGGCCATTATGAATGGACTCCACTTACGACTGAAGCTATAGAGACGGTTGACACCTGCCATATTTCATTTAAATTAGTACAAAAAAAATCTTTTTTTGATGTGACAACACAGGGTATGACGCTTTGATTCGATTAGCTTAGTGTAAATCCTGCATAACGGTTTAAAACTTCTGTCCCATCAAAATGACTGAACAGCAATCAATGTCTAAACTGCTGGCAAACCAAAGTGAGCACACACCTCAGTGAAAATAGAAAGTGTTCATATTTAGTGACTCCTCAATAGAGTTTTTATAGGTTGGTGATCAACTGCTCCTCTGAAGACATGATGAAGCCTGTGGATATCAGAGAACTTCTCATCTTTCTGTTGGAGAATTTTCCATAGATATCAACTGAGTTATGAACTGGAGACACGTTTGGTCAGTCAATATCTTTACCCTCAGATTCTTCAGGAAGGCAGCGGTCTTCTTGGAGGTGTGTTTGGGGTCTCTATCGTATTGGATGACTGCCCCGCTACCCAGATCATGCTCATTAATACTTCCACCATCGTGCTTCACTCTAGGAAAGACACACTAATCTTTGTAGTCCTCGCTTGGCTGCTGCCACAAATGCTCGACTCTCTGCTGCACTAATCTATCTTCTTAGTCTGCTGACCTTCAGCAAACCGTTAACAGGCTTCATCTTTTTAAGATCCCTCTTTCTAGGATGAGAGCCATACAGACCAATATGATGAAAGAAGCTACAACTATTGACTGTTGATCACCGTTCATTCACAAACACATGAAGATCTACCTCATCCCACCCTCTCCTCAACTGTGAGAGAGGTGACCAGCACAAGTCGGCCAATCACGTTAGATTATTTTGATTTAGGGCGACATACAACTCTGTAGGAAGCGAAAGCTCACATCTGTTTAGTCAGAATTGTCACTTTAATCATTAAAAGAGGAACGGTAAGAAGCAATTTGTGCATTGGTGTAGAACTGAAGCGAGGACGAGGATTGCCAGGTTATAGCTCAGCTTTGGAGAGGAACTAATCTTTCTTAGCTATAAGGTATATATATATATATATATATATATATATATATATGGCTATAAATGCCATATTGAACTACCAGTAAACTTAGTGTAAGCTTTTCCCCATTCTCACCAGACCCGTTAAATTAACAAAAAAACAGCTAAATTATTTTAAGGGGACAGAAAATCCACACAGTTATACTTTCCATTGAATTGTAGCGTCATACCTTCAGTATTGTCCAATGGAAAAATATATACACTTTGTAAAAATGTTAGCGGTGTGCTGACTTTAGTGAGATCCTGTATGTCCAGGTTTAATTTCAGCGGTTGGCAACACGGAGAAATGTGCGCAGCTTCTTCGCTCTCGTCTGCTGCTGAGCTAAAAACTAACTCGGAGTAAAACAGTTCTGCTGTGGTAGATGCGTGCCTTCAGAAGTGGCTCCTGTGATGATCCTGTACTGAGATAAAATAGTTCATCATGTGATCGGTAGTGGTGTTACTGCTGCCCTTTATCTGAAGGGGTGCCGCCATTCGCCAGAGCAGCAATACTGATGAACACTAATGGAAACAAAAGCCTTATTTCATTGTACGTTTATTAATTTCTCTTTATTTTACTCATATGGTATGTATACCCTCTTAGTCTATGTACAATATAACCAACTATTTTTGTAGATGTTTGTATTCAGTTTGCTTTTTTTTTTAAGCTGTATTTTGTTTTCTGTCTGTAGCCGGCTGCTATCTGATGTAAAGTACATTTGTACAAGTGAACCTTAAAACAATCCAGGGATGAAGGGTGGAAGCGTTACATTCTACTATTGAACAGAACTATGCATTAGACAGTTTGTTTGTATTTACATTGGAATCTAAGCCATGTCTTTTACTAATAAACTCTATTCAAACTTACAGAAGACGTTTTTTTTTTATCTAAAACTTCTTAAAATTCACAGCCATCTTATTCGCTCCGGGATGAGATGAGTGAGTGACAGAAAATATCTGTTTCCAGGACAGTTTCTAAATGGTGAAAACAAGCCTTCTCCAGGCCTTACAACAGACCCATAAGGAGCAGGAATATTCCATTACACACAGTGCTGCTCCCTCGAAGAAGCCGCTACAAATCAGGCTGCTCTAAATGCCTTGTCCAGATGGTGCAATTCGCTCCATAACCACCAGGTGGAGGAGGTGGTTCTGCTCTGCCGTCAGAAAGGGCCTGAAGAGAGAAAAAACAAAACATGTGATCAATATGGAAAATTACTAAAAAGCCAGAGAATATTTCACTCTGCTCGTCACATGATGGAAAACGGACATTTCTCAACACTCACCACAGCTCAGTCTGCAAGGACTTCAGGGACTCTGTGTCTTTCTCCTGACACGCCATCTGCAGAACAGATCCGTCAGAACCAGGACTAATAAAAACACAACTACAGATTCAAACGGCCTTGTTAACGTTGCAGATTTCTTTTTAAAGCCTCATAACATAAGCTCAGGCAGCAAAACAAGAAGGCATAAACCCTCCCCTTTTATTAAAGGTATTTTACATACAAACACACCTAACAGCAGTAGTTATACCACTTGAAGGCCTCCACTTATTGCACGTTTAAAACTTCAATGCACACAGCAGTGCATAAAATAAAGCATAGCTTATAATATTTTAAATATTTACATCTGAAAGGTTTTCAGTTCTCTAATAAACTCTTTGTATAACAGCATGAACATTTATCTAAAAATAAGCTTCAAGCCTTTAGAAGTATGCCAGCTCTGCAGGTCTAAATAAAAGTTGACTTTTCTTCTACGTGAAATCAGGTAAGGTGGGTTTCAGAGCATCAGTTAACATGTGGGTCCAGTTCTGTTCTAAAACTCTCCACTAGATATAAGCACTGGGTCGATTTAACGCTAATATGCATTGAAGTTGTAGGTCTGCTGTGAGCTTAGTACCTTTATCCAGCTGGAAAGTGAACATGTGGCTGTCAATGCCACTGATTTTTAGATGTAAAAATGAGGGGAAACATGTTTTATATTACTTCCACTTCACTATCATGTGTTACCTTGTGGGAAGCCATCACAGAAAACATAGAGAAAATACTTTGTGGTTGAAAAACGACACATTTCAACACTTTGAACAGCAAAACGTGAGAACTTGAAAGCTGCAGTTAAAAAGTCTAACAGCACTGACACAGATGCCAAGTAGGGAAGAGTAAGAATGCGGCAAAAAGGACAAAAAACACAATGCAACTGAATCATTAATCGCTGTCATGTACAGGCTATGATGAAAAACTGTGCGTGTGAGGCAGAAAAGGTCAGGTAAAAACTCACCACCACAGATTGCAGAAGTAGGAACACATTCTCAGGCAGGAAGGTCACTGAAAGAACAAACAAAGTTCGTATTTACCCCCACCGCCAGTGCAATCCAAATGATTCATGCTCTTAAGTTGGATGGGAACTGAAGTCATTCACTTCCTCCAAAACAGATCAAAGTATTAAGAAGCATCTACCTTGGCTGTGAGGGTCAAACGACTCCCATGCATATCTCTCCAGGGTCTGAGCATGTTCTGGTAGTAACTTCTGAGGTGGAGGCTGCACAGAAAACACAGACCGAGGTGGTGCCATTAAGATTTAATGACCTACAGCTGTTGTTTTTTTAAATGCCTCAAATCCAACGGATTTTATGGTTGCTGAGTTTGACGGTTTATGGTAGCTTTTCTCTAAACCGTTACAGAGTGATCAAAATACGAAATATTCAAGCATTCTGATTAACCAGTTTTCTCCTGTTCCAAACCCAAACACCATTCTATTTTATTGGATTCTATGCAGAACATAACTGTGGTGCGTTGACCCCCAGGTTCCAAATACTCCGCCAGCGCCCGCCCCGCTCACGTACGTCATGTGGAGTACTTGTCCGTCATGTTAATCAGTGAGAGCTGTTCCACATCCACCTCTACTCCTCCCCACGTCCCCGTCCACGTACGTCTTCTGCGTCTGTCACCGTCAAAATACGGAGCCGAGCTATTTTTTGTTCCCCTCCGGTCCGGCTAGATCAAGATCCGCTATTGCAATCACACCAAACAGGAAAAAGAACGTCGAGAAGATCCGGTTTGTCAAATTAAAATATAGTAACGACAGATCGGTAACTAGAAATTATAGCATAATTCTTATATATATATTCAAAAAAACTAACATTGTTTATTTGCAAACTATTGGTTTTTCAACACACCAGGAAGCAGATTTCTCATCTCCATCAAAATATTTATTTTATACCGAGATGCTTAACAGTTTTATCAAATCCAGTCAAAAGAAGCTTCTTATTGCAGGAATGGATGAAGACATGCCGAGTTTGGGAGTAGAGAACAAACAGTTCATAAAAAGGCAGTTTTGGATGATCCTATTTATCCCCGTTACAAAATCTACAACAAGAAGAAAATATTTGGGCAGAAACTGAACATATGCTGGATGCTGATGGGGATTTTTTTTAATGCATCATATTAAATTAAGAGTTCATTTCCACATGTTTTGCTCCTGTTAATTTAATAATATCGCGCATGCTCTCCTCGAGCTCAGAGGAAGTCTGAGTGAAGCAAGATGGGAGGCTGTAGGCTTTGCTTTGGGCAGGAGTTCTGGAGCGCAGCGGAACGGGGCGGTGATGGAGGATGTGGGATTTCAGGGTAAGTGCTTTACAAACAAAACTCTGATCTCTGAAACCCAAACATAAATCAGATGCAACCTTTCTGCCTCCAGAGGCCAAAATTCAGGGGAAAGTTTAATAGATTCTGTAGAAGAATTCAGCTACTAAACAAAGATAAAGGAAGTTCCACGGCTCCAGAAGAGGACAAACTGCTGCCCTCTAAACACCAAGACCTTAATGGAGGAGTGGGCTCATGGTGGGGAGCAGGTCATCACTCTTAGTACGCTTTAACACTTTAGTCAGAAATCTGGTCAAATCAGATCAAGACAGGCCAGGCACATAGTCCTGGATTAGATTGGCCCAGAAAAAAGGTTCAGTCCTAAATCCTGAGAAAATCTGTTTTACAACTTGAGAATAGATAGTTGCTGATGTTTTTCATGCCGAATCACTAAGCTGAATGTATTTTACCAAGAAAAATAGGGAAAAATGTTAGTTTATAGATGTTCAAAGCTAACAGAGAGATTTTCCCAATAGAATCCCTGCTGCAAAAGGTGGTTCTAAAAACAATCGACTCAGGAAGGCTGATGATAAAATAATTTAAACATTATAAAACATAAAAAAAGCATATGTCATTATCCTTTTCCTTCATAAATTTGATCTATCTTCACAAAAACTTTACTTATATATTGTTAAAGAGTTGAAGGTGAGTGAATACTTTCCACAGTGTCTTTCTGTAAAATAAATAATATATTTGTATTTCCAAGCTTACCTCTAGTAACATCAGCAGAAGCACTCTGGATATCTCACATTTTGCCACAATGTCCATAAAGGCACCTTTTTAAACATGAAAACCGAGAAGGAAACTGGTCAGCTTTTTAGTTCAACCTCAGGAAAAGATCAACTTTAGGATGACATAAAACAATGTGACATTGGAAACCAATTTTTGATGTTAAAGGATGAAGTAAAATAAATGAGGGATCCAGATAATAAGCATATCTGCAGCATCTGTGATCAGCGTGATTTGATCGTTTCCTCACCTATAGGGTTTGTGGTGCCTGGCAGCTGCAGCCCTCTCTCCTGACACATCAGCTGCATCTCTGTGAACACTGACAAAGCGCCGTCATAGTCACCTGTAAATTAGAGGAGACAAAGTCGGACATCTGGAATCCAGCCCAGCACGGGGCAACCATGCAATCTCCTCCAAATGAGCAGATCCTACTCACGTGTGATGATTTTACACGTGGCTATTTCCCCCATGGACAGCAGCGCTTCTATGGGCATCTGAGTCTGTAAATCTGCCGCCCTTTGGAAGTGAACAATGGCTTCTCCTGGTCTGTTCATTTCCTGTTGAAGTGCAGAAAAAAAGACCCATGTGCCATTTGGATTAGATAAAACTTACAGCAAACCTAAAAAAACAAAACAAAACAAAAAAAAAACGGGGAAATCAGCTTCATTAATCATCTGAGACAGCTGAAAGCTGTGATCAAACCTTGAGCGCGCTGCCAAGTTCCAAACACAGGCTGGCTGCCATCACAGGCTGGTTCATCTCGATGTACACCTGCAACACATTTTCACGTCAGCTTTCAGTCATAACACAAGAATGCAGTCAGGGAATCTGTTCTGCACGCAGACACTGGCATGTTTTAACGTTTCACTCTAAATATGCTTCTACTGCTGTTACACTGCACACCTTAATGGCAAAACTGTAGCAGTTGAGAGCAGCTTGGAGGTGTTCATCGAAGCCCGCCGCCTGCAGGGCTCGGATCTCCTTCTCAGATAACAGGAAGAGACGAGCAGCTTCGGTCAAGGCCAGAGCTTCTCCAGGAGCATTAAAGAGAGTCTGCTCGCACCTGCAGATAAACCCACTGGGAATGAGGAATAAAAAACAGACAGAGAGACGCCAGCTTTTCTCTGGCTCCTCAGCCTGGCTGTAGCTTTAGCCTCACATACAGTACATGACACTGTGCTGCTGCCATGTTTAATAACACAAAACTAACATTTCAGCCTGTGACCCCAAAAATAACCGTGCCACAGACTGGAGACCCCATTAAATGCATATAGCTGTTTCAATCAATAAAATTTATAATATAAATATATCTTTTAAATAACATTTAACTGATATTTTTATATTTTAAAGTATGTAATGGATCATTTAACTATTATGCATTTTATTATTTAATTGTAAATCTAATATCTAAATGACGAATAAGACAAATAGATAATTTATATATATATGAACATATATAATTTAGTCATTTGATTTATTATTTTACATTCATTTTTGTAAATTAATTTGTTATATGAATAAATACATTTTAAAATAACATGAATCATTTGATTTATAACTTTGAAGTTATTTTTATTGATTTATTTTCATGTTTAACTATTTAACTGTACTGTAGCTATTAGATAAATAACTTAATATGTAGATTACTTTAAATAACATTTAGTTGTTTTAATTTATTAATGTAACCTTTTCATTATTTGAGGATTTTTCTTATTTGCATTTTATAAATTCATGGTACATCTAATATTAAAATCACATGTTCAATAAATAAAGCATTTCTAAAAGAACATTTAATAGCTAAAGTTATAATTTTAATTATTATCTGAATTATTTAATGGGAAACTTAATTGTGCATGTTATTATTTCATGGTATATCTAATATTTGAATCCTCTTTTTAGATAAGTAACATTTACATTTATTATTTCTAGGTAAATTCCTTTCATTGGAAATTCACATTTGCAATTTTTTAAGATCTATTTTGGCCCTCCATGTACCCTTAGGGATGACATCACATTGATTGTGAAAACCTTCTTACAACCCCTACTTTGGGAACCCTTTCTTTAGACTATTTCCATATTTGAATAGAAAAAAAATTAAAAATTAATTAAACCTAGAGGAAGATATTTAACATGCTTCATCTGGCAGCACTCTGGTGCTTCCGCTGCCATATTTGTTTCCACTTGTTTTCAAACTTGGAAACAAAGTCCAGCGGATTGTGTTTTTTCACACAGTAACTCAGATTTGGCCAAAGATTGGAGCCAAACTCAGCTGACTGACATTTAATAAGGCAGAGATTCAGAAAGGGACACATGTTACTGCAGACAGACATATTTATACAGTAACAAAATCATGGAGGGATTATTGAAGAACATGATGACAACAGGGTGAAGAGACCATAAAGAGCATCACTGCATGTTATCTCTGCATGAAATCCATTTTACAATCATCACAGTTTTGTTTTTTTTCCAAACATGTTAACCCCTTCACTCAGTCATGTTATTCATATGAGACTAAGCTGCATGAACCCCCCCTCCCAGCGTGCACTCACCGAGCCATGGCCAGGTTACAGAACGCAGCATACTGAAGGCAGTCCTGCTGCTTCAGCTCCTTCGCCAGCTGACCTGGAAGCACAGAGGCAGAAGAAAGACACAGATGAACTGGAAAACAGTGAAACTGCTCTAAAAGCAGCTGCTGCCTGTTATCACAGGGGCAGAACGAGTCACAGCGCCGCCGGCGTCCTGTTTAGACAGTTATCACCCAAACAGCGGCATTAGAGAGAGGTAGTGGGAATCAATGAGAGCTTCTGCAGAACCACAGACAGACACAAAAAAAACAACCAGAATAAACTTCTATCTGATCGTGTTGGAAATGCTTTCCTTGTACTATTAAGCCATTATCAGTCTTCATTCAACATAAACTAACCTGCTTTGTTTTTGTTTTTCTAATAGCTGTAGCTTCAAGTCTTATTTTAACTCCCATTTTCCAGTTAAAACATGATGAGTTTAGTCCTTTGGGGTCATGTTTTGTTTATTTTTTTTTTTGTTTGTTTTATTTTAGTTGGGCATCTTCTAAGGACTTTTCCCTAAATCCTGTCAGGTTAACTTGAAACATTGGCTGCTGTGTTAGTTGTCATTTTCAGGGATCTCCCAATCCGATGTTGATATCGGAAATCGAATGAATATAGTGATATCTAGCGGCTTGGATCTGACATCTCCAGTATAAGCAGCTAATAGAAACCTTCTGCTTTTGTTTGTAGTTTATGTAACCCATTCAAATTTTAATGGATCAGTTGTTCTCATATTTATTGTTGTTGATTTTTGTTCTCTGTTTGACAAATTTAACCTGATTCAGCTTTTTGGAAAATTCTAAACCATGAAAGAAGAAATACAAATATGCATGACTTGTACTAATATCATATTAGGTCAATGTATAAATCTGCAGCAACGTATCTTAGAAATGAAAAAGTCATATCAGGACATCACCAGGAATTATTTCCATCATCGACTTAAAAGCTACAGTAATGAAATATGCTCTAATCAATAACAACCACAGGTAAAGCACATGTCCCTCAAGTGTTTAGGTTTGATCATAATTTATATTAAATAACAAGATTAAACTAGATCAGATCAGCATTAGAATCCCAATAAACTGAAATAAGGTGATATAAAAAGACAATACTGCAAAATAATATGTGATTTCTTTTTAAAATTCATGACTATTAACTTTGATAACTATTTCAAAATACTGTGCCAACACCTTAAGAAAGTTACCAGAATATGAAACAACTAGTTTAGATGTAGGGAATGGAGCTGGGCTGGGAGAAGATGGTAGTAAGTGGTTACAAAATGAATTTCCTATCTGTAATATTGGTATATGAACTTTGGGGTTATTTTGGTTTTTTTTTAGCTACACATGTTTTTTTAATCATTGTTAAATTCACTGGTCATATCTTACACCATCGTCTGGCATTAGATAAAACAGAACACAGCTGAGTTTTGTAATGTCGCCAATTTAAACAAGTATCCAAGGACACTAATTATGACATTATGGTCCAAAGATCTACAGAAAACTTTGGATTTAACCGCTGCTATATGCTCCTTTAGATTTATGGACACTAAAGGCCTGATTATCAAACTTTTGGGTGTATTATTAGAATATACCAACCTGTTTGAAAGAATAGAGCAGATCTTAGGCAGTGTGTGCAAACTTTTGATTGTGCAAACGCCTTCATAAACATGCAGATCATATCGTTATGAGCAAAGCATGGAAAATATTAAGCACATGATATGCTCATACTTTACAAGTTGTAAGTAACTACTTGCAGCCTGTAAAGCGGTGGTAAGTAGTTACTCTCGGTTTGGCTGTTTACCCAACTAGTTGCGGCATCATTTCAGGTGAACCTGTCATTTTTGTAGGTCACCTCTTGCAGCACGGGTCATTTTTTGAGCTATTTCTTTGGAATCCATCAAGACCAGGCCCAAACCAGTCAAATCTTTACCATAACATCCATTATTATTTCACCTCTGCTGAACAACGTAGTTGAACCATCTTGACCTCAAATATTGTTGAGGGATTGATTCTAGAGAAACAGCAACACCCATTAAATTGGATGAGTCAGAAGTTTGCCAAACTGTTCTGCATGGTTTAATTGCTGCTAATTTTAGCTTTCACAGTCGCTGTTATTAAAGAACAGGTAGCCAGAGATAAATCTGTCCCTGACACTTACATCCTGGGAGAACGTCTGCAGTCTCTCAGGATGTAAACAAATAAATGCCACTATAAGCGTTCTTGTCAGGCTGTTTCAGGTAACTGCTCCACTGGAGCCGTTACAGCCTCTTGATGAACATCTTTGATTGCCCAGGAGAAATCTTAGGAAACGCTGGACAGATTTAAATAACTCAGTGATTCATAATCGTTTGTAGAATTTATTTTGTTTTGTTCAAAAATTGTTCACCACTTATATATCTTAATTTCAGTAGTTTTATGTTCTTACGAAATGCATCTTGTGTTCCAACGATTTAGACAAACGTTATAAAAGACAGACCCAACTTAAAAGGACTGGTTTTATGAACGATGACCAATGTAAAATCAGATTGATATGTCATTTAAAGTTAGTCTGATGGGTTCGTGATATTTATTTCCTACTTTTAAATCCATCCATACATAATCCTGAAGCTGGTAATCGATCAACTCACCAAACTGCTCGCTGGCTTCAGCAACATTGGGCTTTCGGAGGAAGCGTCTGCAAGGATAAAACACAAACCTTTCAGCATTGATCTAATATAATATTTTAGAGACAGCATGTTGGCTTCAGGCTTAAATGGAACACCAGAATTGTTTAGATAGAAGATATCTGTTGGATTGAAGCCTTCTGTGTTTGAAGTTTAATATTTGACCTGCATTGTTAGACTGGGTGTACATCTGACAGCAATGTATGCTTAGGGATAAAAGATGGCTACATAAAAACGACAATATCAGTGAACACAACAAAATTAAAAAGTGGTTCAATTGAGTTCATAGTTTACACTAGTATTGCACCGATGGAGATCAGTGCAATACAGTTAATTTACCTAAAAAATAACCTATCATACCCAAAATAATAAACTTTACACAATGTTGGAACTACAGCTCAGAAAGAGAAGAGGGGAAATACTAGGATATAGGACAGCAGATGATTTCAAAATTATGTCATTTTCTATTAATGTGAAGCTTTACAAAAAAAATTAAAACAATCCACTGGACTTGGTTTCCAAGTTTGAAGATGTTTTGCTTCCCATCCAGGAAGGTTTTTCAATTCAGAATGTCAGGAATAGCGTTGAGAACAAGGTTTTATACAGTAGCTCAACAAAGGCTTGTTTTTGATTTGAAAACATGCAAATTGGAACAGAATGGAGGTAGTTCAGTTTCTTTTGTTAGACTGCAATACCCCATACCCATGTAAGTGTCTAAAAGGTTGGTCACAGGCACATTAATGTGAAGCCTTTACTGTGATCCAACTTAACTATGTCCTTCATCGAAATACTAATCAAATATTTTTTTTGATTAATCGAATAGTCGATTTTTTATTAAATTAAACCAGGTAAAACTAAAACTTTTCCACTTTAGGAGTCCTGGATAGAGCATATTGACTGACAAAAACTTTTTTTTTAATCTTAGATGCAAAATATAACATATTTTATTAAAATCTTGGTATAATTACTGCTCTAAGTGGGTTGCTGTGTCAGCTAAAGGCATGTTTTAGTGTCTCTATACTCGAATACTAATTGATTACTAAATTAGTTGTTGATTATTTCAATAATCGATTAATCAAGATTAATCCAAATAACTGTTTCCGCCCCATTACCAACCAGTTTATTTTCTCAAGCTAGAATTGTTGTTTCCAAAACAAGAAATAAAGGGATTGCTGATGTGTTTGTTTGTACATGACAGTGATAGTGAAGCAGAGAGGCACAGCTACGCTGTAGTAGCATTTTGATGTTGTCCAAAGGGTACACAAGTATAAAACATTGGTAATCTGCTAGAACGGTAATACTGATATCTAGTGATGTTATGAGATGAGCCGAGACTTCGAGGCGTGTGTCGAGTACTGGAGGGGGCGTTTCCGAGAGGCGTGTATCGAGGCTTGCTTCATTTGGTGGTGGAGCCAAAATAGATGGCGTCCGAAGCCTCACTACCCCTCCATACCACGTGACTGCTTAAGGAAGTGGTTCAGCTTGCCCCGAACTTTGGCAGGCATTTAAACAGCCTCAGTATTCAGTCAAGATGTGGGACTTTGTAGGAGAGTTGGATAGAATTTGTTTATATTCTAAGAATAGATTGGTGCTTTTTCCAACAATTAGTTGGTTAGATTAAACAATGTAATTATCAAAATCTGAATAAAGCACTGATGTAATGGATTCTAAGTAATATTGCTTTTTGTAGATATGTCAGCTACTTAGTGGTTTAAGCTGTACGTGATGGACTTTCAATCTGTGGGATGTTGATTCAAGATCCCTTAGACCTTTAAAAGTTTTGATAAAACACATCTAGTATTTTGGCTAATATGACTAATATGCATTCCTTGCCCTAGATTGGTAAAAAAACACAAAATATTGATGTGTTGGTTTAGCCAAAATATTGGTTGAACACATAACTTCCAACCAGATTAAAACCACAAACTGTGGGAAAACTATTATATTTAAATTAAAATGACTAACACCTTTCATTTTGCTCATCATTGCCCAATTTGCATGAACACTTTCCCTGTCTGCATGAGCTTATTTCACTAAAATGGCAGAAAAACTGTGTACCTAAAATTATTGTTCTCTTCTAAGACGTTTTACATAAAAAAAAAATTCTAAAGATTTTATTACACAGACAGAACATTAACAATTCCAAATGAACTTATAAGGGGGTAAAAAAATACAAAAAAAACAAGAAAGATGATATTGCAAAGGATCTCTTACATTACTAACTGTAGTTCTGCTGTCCACCAGTAGGTGGTGACATGTTCACATGGAGACTCATGAACTGTGGGGATCATTGAAGCACTTCGGCCAAACGGTTCAATGCCTCATGAGGCTTCATCTCGCCATCAATACTGATTTCCCACATAGATATCAGCCGACAATTTAAAGCGACTAATAAAAAATAAAATTCTCTTACACCATTTTTTTTTGTTTGCCTCTTAGATGTGAACAAACAAAAAGAAATTATTGTAGAAAACTTGAAGGAACAGATTGGAGAGCAGATCTATTTTTCTTCTAGCTAATTTAACCATTTAAAGCCCGAATAAAACAAAACAGAAAATTACTTTTTTTTTGTTTGAAGTCCTTATTTGGCCTTTTACAAAATATGTAAAAAGAAAAAACAGAAATAATTTATTACTATGCCATAAGTCGAGATTATTTTTATTGTAGTCTTCTGCCCTCTGTTATCACGTATATCTGATTGTGTAAAATAGGATTTTGAGCAAAGTTTTTACCATTAAATCATGAAAAAGGTGTCAGACGCAAAACATTTCAGAAACCGTATGTATCAAATATGATACATTTGGCATTACAGGGTTAATAACTCACTAATTCTCAAAAGGAGTATCAATAAATGCTTAAAAGTTAAAATAAATTATGAAACCACTGTTCCATGCTAAGAAACATTCAAAAGGCTTAAAGTTTAGACCAAAATAAATATAATATAGTTAATAAATCCAAATATTATTTGAATACAACTTTAGAAACAGTGTTGCTTTAGCTATTCAATCACTCTCGTTCTAAATATTACAGTTGTTCAGTAAAGATCAAAGCATGGGTCAGATCAACATTATTCTTTGTGGTTTTACACCTTGATTTAAATAAACTCTGCATTTGCCCTGCTGATGGATGCATTTCCACTGATTCATACCACATCCACTTCAATCATAATCAATTCGGCTAATACTAACGAATAATGCTAAAGCTTACTAAACTAAATGCACAGGCGGACAAAGATATATACATTATAAACTCGGCTGCAAACATTATACACACAACGATATTATAAAAATAAGCTTAAAAATCACAGAGAGAAAAAAGCGACCGCTAGCCTTCTACTATTAGCATTAGCTTTGATGCTATTAATGGAAGTTAGGATTATAAATGATGATGCCCTTAACGTTATCTAATCGTTCCACTCGATATGTTTAAAACATTAAACAAATGTCTTACTGACTTCTTTAATTTGTTTGACACAGCTCGGTATCTCGCCAGAAAATCGCCTTCCGCAGCCATGGTCAAAACAGCTAAACAAACCCAACCAGGAAATTATTTTTGAAGCCGCTTTCCCATTGGCTTACTGATGGTCACTTCATTGTCATTGGCTGGTGTCTGTCTACGTAGCGCGTCTCCGGAGAGGAAATGCCCAAATATGGAGTTATCAAACTGGCGTACCTAAACAGCAGGCAATGGTGTTACTGCCCCCATAGCAAAATTACTTTTACTATTAACCTTTTCAGCTATTTATGCGCTTTTATTGTTGTGGTTACAGAGGCTGTTATTATCATATAAAATCAAACTATCATTTATATTAACCCTGTTATACTAAACACAAATCTAATTCATTTTTGTTTTTAATTAATGAAAGAAGAAAATTAGATTAGATTAGATTAGATGAGCTTTATTGATCTCACAGCGGAGAAATTCACTGGTCACATATTGGCATATAGAAGTCAAAGAAGGTGCAAACAAGGAGGAAAAAGGTGCATTAAGAATAAACAATAAACAATATATATATACTGTATATCCAGGTATATACAGTATATCAAGGTAAATAAGGATTAATATAAAATAATATAGTAATAAAAATAATAAGTAGAAAAAGTAGATTAGTAGAAAATGTAATACATAGAAGAATTGTTCTCTACGTATCACCTTTTCTGATGTTCTTTTTCCAAGTACTTAGATTAAAAACTTTAAAAAACTATTTTATGATAGATAGATAGATAGATAGATAGATAGATAGATAGATAGATAGATAGATAGATAGATAGAATAGTGTTATGAAAAAGTTTCTTTTTTAAAATTCCCCAGGTTCATCTGACCACATGTCTCTGTTTCATCTCCCCCTTATTTAGTTCTTTATTTTTGCTCTTCAGATTTACCCTGCTGACGTATGTATTTGAATGAATTTAATATTTTTTTTAAATAAGTGATACCGAAACCAAAGCTTATCACAACAGGCTCTGAAAATCATTAGATGTCTAATGCTTTGCCTTTCTCGTCAATGAGAAGCTGATGATTTCTTAACTTCCTCTGTATCTTTAGCTGTTTTAGCACATTCATCTCTACAAATATTACAAATTAATCAAATCTTTCTATTTCTGACATTTATAGGCCCTGTCAGAATCATCAGCTCCAATGTTCTCCCCGTATGTGTTTACCTGATGTCATGCAGGCTGCTTCATTTCAGTCTTGAATGATAGAAAGGCTCTCAAAAATCTGACCTGTAAAATCTGTAAAATGATAGCAAATGTGTGCTATAATTTACTGTCAAAATTATTGTTGCTACTAAGCTGTTGAACATTCACCTGAACAAGACAATGTTCACAAGTTTTGGAACATGTTCACTTAGAGTTGATTAATTGCAATTTCACCACCCAAAATAAAATCGTTAGGCCTGTTTCAAAATGGAACTATTACATTGAACCTTTGCTGTTGATTGATTGTATCAATATTCTTCTTCCCATGGACTTGATCCTGACTATAGAAGGCTTGAGAAGATTTTTCTTCGTTTTTTTTTTTTTTTTTTCTGGGAGACTGCCAGTCATCTTGTTTTTTTTTTATAAACTGTCTGCCCTTTAGAATCCAGTATAGTGAGTAAGATAAAACAGTTCAATGCAATGGATTTCTATTGGTGCAGGTTTTGATTAGCTACCTACCACATAAGGACTTTAAAAGACATGGTTATACAGCACACAAACAACATCTGAGTTTTTCCAAATTGAAAATAAATCAGTAAGTGATACATCTGTAATTCATTCAGTAACATTTATTTCATTCCCTTCTTCCATGTATTCCAGTGTGACACAAACTCTGGTTATTTCATCATTAAAACACTGAGCTTTCAATTATTTAGTATTTTAATCCCTTAAACTGTGTTATTATAATACTTGTTGAAGAGACTATTTCAATTTCATTTTTCTCTTTCCTTGAATTAGCTTCAGATGTTTCTCTCATTTGTTTAATTTAAAAGTTCTCATAAACAGACTCAAATATGCCTTCGTCCTGGTTTTCAGCGTTTTGTTCCCCCTGTGGAAGCAGAGCAGAAGACAGGCCGGTTATGGGATTTCCTTTAGCATTAAATCTTTTTATTTGTGATATCAGGAATATTAGATTTTCTAACCACTTGTGAGAGTTCAGCTTCTGAGGTTTTAGTTTCCGTTTCCTTGTTGTCACTATTGGCAGCTGAGCAATCCAGCACTTCATAAATGGACCTGGTCCGAGGCTCTAAACTCTGTAAGGGTTCAAGAAATATCAACCAGAAGGAACTCATAAGTATTTCAGATGGGGAACCAAAAGAGAATAGTAGAAGAGAAGATAATGCTTACAGCATAAAAAGAAGAAGACTGAGCGGCTGACATGTCCATGCAGTCTTCCTCTTTTTCTGTCTCCTTCCCGTCTTCTCTGCTCTCCTTTTGTTTTCTACTCGTGTCCAGAGATTCAGAGCTCGGCTCTTTCTAGGAACATGCACACATATTTAGAAAGAAACTTAACAGACACGGGTTAACAAAAAAATTCTAGATTGTTTTGGTTACAGTGCCAGACATCAACCTTTTCATGGCCATAAATTAAATTCAAGTTGGACTTCTAATGATTTATTTTACTTTGTTTTTCAGGTCACATGTTTATAGAACAAATGTTTATAGTCAAGACCACAGCAACTCAGACCATTGAATACCGAGACAAAGCCAAGACCTTTAGAGGCTGAGGCCAAGACCTTATGCATTCTTGACCTCAGCCTGTCAAGGTATTACACTTCTTGGTCTCAGTTGGTGTGATCTTGACTACAACACTAAGTGCAACAGATCATATACATTAAAACTGAGGTCTCCAACAGGAGGTCCGTGACCGCTAGGGGGTCCATGGAGGCACTGCATGGGGGTCCGGAAGTTTTGGTTGATTAGACTTTTTTTTTTATTCCCCCCTGCAATTTTTTTCCTCTAATTGAAATGTCTTTAAATAAACATTAACATGAATTCAACACACTGTAGTAAACAGATAAATGGAGGCAGAAGATGTCTTTCAGTCATCAATGCACACATTATATCTATTATAACTTTCTGCTAACTGTCAATAAAATAAAGTTTAATGAAATCTGTAAAAAAGAAGAACCAATAGAAAAAATTTGTTTATAATTCAAAGTATTTATAAAGGTAAATGGTTAGTTCAAACAGTACTTTGAATGTGGCATATTTTATATATATATATATATATATATATATATATATATATATATATATATATATATATATATATAGATATATATATATCTATATATATATACAGCAGGGCCAAAAAGTATTTAGTCAGCCACTAATAGTGCAAGTTCTCCAACTTAAAAAGATGAGAGAGGCCGGTAATTTTCATCATAAATATACCTCAACTATGAGAGACAAAATGAGAAAAAAATCCAGAAAATCACATTGTCTGATTTTTAAAGAATTTATTTGCAAAATATGGTGGAAAATAAGTATTTGGTCAATAACAAAAGTTCATCTCAATACTTTGTTTTATACCCTTTGTTGGCAATGACAGAGATC